CCAGGGCCCCTCCACCCCTCCGCCCCATCGCCTCCGTCTGTCATGTGTCACCCTCCGCAGCGCCGCCTAACAAGCAGACTGACAAAATATTGAGTCTCGCGGGCCAATTACTGCGGCGTCGCAGGCGGCGGAGGCGGCGGGGCGGTGTTCAGACGTGGAGAGTGGCGGCGCGGAGCGGAGTAGGGGAGAGGGAGGGAGAGGAGAGTCACTGGCGGAGGGGGCGCTGCGTCGTGATGCCGGCGTCGGAGGGGAGCGTCGGATTGCAGTCCCCCAGAGGGTGGGGCGGAGGGGGAGGGGAGGGCTTTCGCGGGCGCCATGCTGTCTTCGCTCTGCCAACACTCGCGCGCCGGGCGTTCTTCGACGCTCGATATCCCTCGCATTCGCAGCCTACTTTTCGGTTCGGTTTGAATTTTGATTTTGCCGGATGTTCAGTACAATTATAGGCAATCGAGGTGAATATATCAGAGTGCAAATGGAAATATAAAATAAATTTTATTTTTTTACTGATACGTTATCACTTGTTGTTGCCTTAGATCCGGAGTTCGATATTCTATACATAGCATACCTGGGTCGAGAGTATCGTTGTTATGAGGAAAATGTGAATACAGTTGAATGTTTTCTTATGGAGGGGAAATAAGAAAAGAAGTAAACAAGTCAATCTGAATCATTAAAATTACGTAAAAAATGAAAGCATTAACTGGGCGTTAACTGGTCGTTATAACTCGGTGACTTTCTCTCGCCGATCGACTATTACATTTAAAACGCCCTTGATGTATAAGTAACTCTTATTTGCATTCAAAAACTGTAATGGTTGTTAACAACATCAGGTCGATGCGAAGGAAATAATCAATTGTTTTTTTTATTTTTAGAATCCGCTGAGTGTCCTTCATTATTTTTTAAATACATAATACCACGTATTATCAGAAAGAATAATACAAAACATTTTGCTTTATATAAGAATTCTAATATGTCATTTAGCTATATACAATTTGTTTAGATTCTTTTTTGTAAGCGCCCGCCCGTTAAATTTCTTACCGGACGGTAGCCGGTAAAAGTACCTTTTCGTTGCTCTCTTTAGTTGCTCTATGTCGATATTACATGCAATATTACTGAATTATCTTTTACTAAACATACAGCGACAATATATAACCACATTAACTGCTTTAATATTATTTTATTTTCATGATGATGTATTTCGTTACTGCCCGTTATTGTGTAATTTTAGATTTTTCATTTTCTAGCCCCCCTAGGATTTCCAACGGTGGATACTATATAATGAATAATTATCTAATCAGACAATCATTTCGAGGAGGTTTTTTCCATTAATTTTAGTGTTTTCATCGATCAAGTTGCTATTCTTTCATACATATAAGACTATATTAAATTTTAATGAGAATTCATAGTACATTATTGTTTGCCTGATAATGAAATGGGTTAGGAAAAGTGAAGACGTGATCACAATGATAAAATTCTTGTTTCTACTCCACCTGCACACAAGAGCGACACGCAAGGCGTCATTGCCACATTTCTCGACTTCATCAACACTTCCGCCTCAGTCACTGACACTGTCGCTCTCAGACACCTCAACAGATCCGTAACAAATTTTGGAAACAACTTTGATATCAACACCCGCTCTGATTATCACACCCTGTCGCTTTCACATGCGCCTGCTTTACCTGTCTACGTCTTTATACCAGTTATCAAAATGAAGAGCTCAGTAGAACAAGAAGGTCTCCCACATTCTTTGTCAAATTGACTATTGAGAAAAAATGTATTGAGGTATACGAAGAAAGTTAAAGTAAAACCCTAATTAACTCAGAACTATGTCTATGTGGGATACCCGCTTGTTCTACTGAGCAATTCAAATGTTGTACACCATTGTATTTTCTTAATCAATGGTGCCTTTAAATGCAGCATGTGTTAAATATTATTCTTTATAAGATATATCTATCAGTGTTATTGTCATCCTTCCAATTAGTAGCAACCGCACAGTTCCCATCTACATCAGAATGGCAGCTGAGCTCCCATTAACCACACGACTAAAACTACCAAGCAAGTATTGAATTCGCCAAAACAACTTGAAGTGAAGTACCGTTCATTCCTCGATCTAACAAACCTTCCAATTGTACATTCAGTTCTATAAGTCATTTTTCCTATCTATTGCTATATACTCTTTCACAGACCCGTTAATGACCTCAAATGTTAACATCTCCGCTTCCATTACCTCCATTGTTTTCACGTACAAAAGTTATCACACGCTCTAGAAAACCCAGTCTCGTAATCGCGAAGCCATCTCTGCTCTTTTGCCAACTGCAGCACAACAGTTCCATCTATTCCGACTGCTGCCGCCGTCCCCGTCATCTGCTCCATCTCCGATGCCCCCTCCCACTCCCCCACCTATCGCACCGGCGTCACCCGTCGCGATCTTTATCTGCTTGCGCCCGTCGTAAACAACCCGGCACGACGGGCGGGACGGCAGGCCGCCGGCCGCCGGCCGGCCGGTGGCCCGGTAGGGCCGGCGGTACGGGCGGGCTCATGGGCGGGCATGGGCGGGCATGGGCGGGCATGGGCGGGCATGGGCGGGCATGGGCGGGTGGTCGGCATGGCGGGCATTGCGGGTGGCGGGCGCATGCGGCAGGGCGGCATGGGCGGGCATGCGGCGGCAGGCGGCATGCACATGGCGGACATGGGTGGGCATGGGCGGCTAAAATTGGCTGCGGCATGGGTGGTCATTTGTGGGCGTGCGGGTGGGCATGGGCGGGCCTGCGGGCGGGCATGGGTAGGTGTGCGGGCGGCATGGGCGGGTACGGCGAGCACGGCGAGCACGGGCGAGCATGGGCGGGCATGGTCAGATGGGGGACATGAGGGATGTGGGGGACATGAGGGATGTGGGCGGACATGGAGAGTCGGCGGGAAGGCGGGCGGGCATGGGTGGCATGGGCGGGCATGCGGGGCATTGGTCAGATGGGGGGACATGAGGGACGTGGGCGGACATGGGAGATCGGCGGAGGACGCGGCATGGCATGGGTGGGCATGGGCGGCTGAAATTGAGTCACTTGCGCGACCGGTCGCGATATGCGTCCTAAGTGGCTCTGCTTAACATTCGACGGCCCGCCCCGCTACCTGCGGCGGCGGCGGCGGCGGGAGCGCGGGGGCCCTGCTTAAAATTCCGCGCTTTCAATATCTCCGCATCGCTCGCTCGATTTATGCTTCGCCTCCGCGCTGCGCCGCTCAGCCGCTGCCCCGGCACCTGCCCTGCACTTCCTCTCGCTCAGCGTCTCGGCCCCGCGCGGTCGAGCGGGCAGCTCCACGTGCAGGCGCACCACGCGGTCCCACCGCGAGGTCGACGTCGGACGCTGTCTGGAGGAGACTTCTAGCTCTGGTCGGTAGTTTTCCGTGGTTTCTCCAATAAACACCAGGCGAATGCCGGAGCAGTACCCTAGTAAACGGGCCACAGATTGCGCGAAATCTTTCCTTCCCATTCCTTGTCCTATCTTTTCCTCTTACATATATTTTGATTTATTTAGAGGTGCCTCTGATATAAATCAGCTGTTAAGGTGTTATCCAGTTGGAAAGTTGAACACCACCGTAGTGACGTCACTATAGTGATGTGTAGGCTACCGATTGAATGACACAATAACAGCTGATGACCTGTCCGAGGCAGCTGTAAATAAATAATTTACACTCACCCGCACTACACTACACACATCGGGAGGACAGTCTAGAGTTGTGGTTTAGCTGATCCCGACTGGGGCAGCGCTGCTGTCAGCTGGTGACACACGATAGTAGGAGATACTGGTTGAGGAAACCCCCGCAACCCGACCAGTAGGTCGGCGCCTGGATCTCGCCATCCAGTGGGGAAGACCGCGACCACTTGACGCGCCCAAGATCACTAGTCAATCATTCAAGGGTTGGAAGCACACGCCTGAACCGTGGCGTGAGTGCTTTGTTCTCAGGACAGAATGCGGCAATTTAGCATCGCTGAAGATCACAGCGGCCAGCAAAATGTTTTATTTTGCTAGTCAGATGAGCCGAGTAGTGAATATTGTTAAAGTTGAAGCAAATCATTCCGAAAAGCACATGAGAGTATGTATGCGTGTGAATGAAGTCATCAAACGGATGTAAAATTCCATAAATACCTGTTAAGCCTGCGTTATTTGTTTTATCACGCTTTCTCACTAGGCTAAATTTCAACACTTTTGCACGTAAATAACATTTTTAATGCACTTTTGAAACATAATTGTCTTACGATTTAGCTACATCATTATATTAATTTCATGATAACGTTTTTCTTTCGGCGGCATTAGAAAATTAATAGAGTATAACAGTCCCCAGCACTAATCCATGAGGTTGATGAAATTATTATAAATCAACTTTTTGTGTTACTCTCCAACTACGACCCCACATTTTGTTTGTTTCAATGAGCGACGAAAAACTGTTGTCATTGCTGATAACACCATTCTTGGACACATTATATCTTTTTTGGAGAGTATTTGTTCTTAGACTGATTTTGCTAGTGGTGCATTTCCTCGGAAAATATTCATCATGTACCCTAAATATAGTATTCACAAGTGAAATAGTGATTAGAAAGAATTGGTTACAACTATAATCAACCGCAGTTTTCTATTAGCAAACAATATCACTTTTACTGTCAGTATACACTATTTTCCGTTGTCCTTTCATTACTCAAGTATATTTACTCTGTAAATGTCATTATTTTGTAAAAAACACAGTAATGAATATTAAAGCCATTGAAACGTTTCGTGCTTCGAACTTCATGTGCCGAAGTACACGAGAAATAAGCATTTCAATATTCAAAAGTAATGTAAAACAACAGATGAATTGTATTACACTTACCTAATTGGCGACTACCCTTGATTTCTAATTCTGTAACGAAGATTGTGACCCGGAAAAGGCACAGACTGATGATGAGCTTGTGAATTACATGCGTTGGCAGAAAACACCCTAGGAAGAGTGTGATTGGCTATTGTAGTTCCCTAATTGTTATTACATTGCATTATGTTAATTTTATTTGAGAAAGTTGAAAATGTAAAACGAAAACCTCCATAAAAATAAATATAATTTGAATTGTAAATAAAACACTTTATTCATCATAGGTCTTTACATTTCCATATTCTCCCTATAGATAAATTTATATAATACTGCAGAAAAACGTGCTAATTTTTGGTCAGAAAACATTTTTATGAATCCTTGATATGGCTAAAGTGATCTTTTTGGCTCATACACGTAATAATCTCTTATGGGCGTCTCTGGTATTCAAGAATTATTTTATGTCTGCATCTGATTGTCTTGAAAATATTAACAGTATGCAAGCTATTTTTCCCAAATATCTCATTAATTGAGTAAAGGAATCTTGTTTTTAGAGGTAGTAGTGCATCGACGACAAGAATCCATGACATAGGAAGCATCATTTCCTTAACATTGGTTGCAGCTCAGATGTAAGCAATATCCAGCACAAGGACACAGGTATCTGTGAATGCAAGCTGTGTCATCTATCGGAGCGATGGTAGAATCACCTAGACAGGTACAATTGATCTTATTTATTAACATATTTATTTACACTTATGCAATTCTAAAATGCTTATTGCCAGAAACGGTACCTCGATAATGGAAAGCCCTGTGGTTCGACAGATAATGAAGCCCTGTACTACAGGCTGACCGGGAGTGGCCCGGCAACGTCAGCATCAACGAGGTGTACGAGAGAATCGCTGCACGCACCAGGGCGTTTTAAGTCACTCTTTACATCAAAACTTCGTCGCTCCCTCGTGCCCTCAAATGGGTCATTGGTACTCGCTGTGAATAAGACGATGAACACATCTGTAAAGTAAGAAATGATCTATTACTCAAAGCAAAATAAATATATAATTAAACTAAATATACAGTATAAGCAAAGGTCAGAAAATGAAAGGAAGGGGTAAGTTATCAAGACCTGGTAGCAGTTTTAGACGAAACGATTTTAAGACGTAGGCCAATTTATATTTTTTAAACATTTTTTCTCAAAAACTGCAACAATATTTTTAGTTAAAGTTTCTTCTCGTATGTATAAAAAACATTGGCGAGTAGTATTATTTCCGGCCAATAACATGTCTCATTGAAAATTGCAAAATTTCAACATTAAAAAATTACGAAATTGAAGTGTGAGACTTTTTCCATAAAATTTGTTCTAAAATCAGCTTTAAAAAAGGCCACGTGCAGTTTTATTTGAAAACAAACCACTGGTTTTACGAATTTTCCGCTTGAAATTTTAGTATGTTATTTAAAAAAATAATTTCCTCAAAACCGCTCAATTTTTTATCTTGAAACCTATTCCACGGATAAGAACAAGGAACGCTTAAATGAATGGCGCAAATCTAATTTTCGTTGAACTCCCTGAATTTTCGAAAAATGAAAAAAATATATTCTTTCTTCTTTCGTAAAAAATGTCGACGTCCACTGCCCAAGTTACGGGGCGAATGCGTTTGTTGTCGGCGCCGCTGCAGGCGCGCACATCGCAAAGGGCCTTGGCCAGCTCCCCTCCTCTTCGCCCCCACCCCCTTCCCCGCCCCGCCCGTTCGCTGTCGGGCGGCAACGGCGCGGTGGCGGGCGGGGCGGGACGGGGCGCGCGAAGATGCCTATCTAAAATGGACTTCCTGCCAAGGAATAAAATGTGGCCCAAAAAGACGAGCGCGGACGCGTATTTGAAAGCCGCCGCATTATACACGTAGGCGATACCATCGCGCGCTGGCGCTGATAGCTATCGAAGGCCTTAATGGACAGACCTGTTAAAACGGCCTTAATTACCGTAATGGGGTGTATGAAATATTAATTAAATGTTACAAGATCACCCCGCTAGGGCGACTTGCGTTTCCGGTTGCCAGGAAAGCCGCGGACGCGCGTCGCTTTTGTTTGTTTTGGGGCGCGGGGCCGCCGCCGCCGCGTGTTCGTAATCTGTACGTCGGGGCGCCGCTGATGATCGCCTTCCTTGGAAGGCCGGTAGGCGGCGCTTATTACAAAGCAAAACATCGGTTTCACTTGATAAGTCGAATGGTTGTCAGAGTCCCTAATGCGATATCCGTGGCCACTTTGCATGTTCTTGACGTTCAGACTTGCCACCTTTCTTCCTTCTTTCTCGTATTGCTAATTTTCGCCTTTTTTCTGCGGTGATATCTCGGTGAATTTTAATGTCAATCATTCATCATTATTTTCTTAAAGAAAGCTTTCATTCACCTATAAATTATCGGTGAGTTGTTACCGCAGTTGATAGAGCACTATTACGAACGAAATTTTATTCCTCGGATACGCTGGTTTCTCCTCGTGCTGTTCGTGCTGCGGTTTACTTTTCGGTAGATATTACGGTTTGCTCTGAAGTGGGTTGGAATAAAAGTGAATTATTAATTCGGTTTTCACGAAAGCTCCATAAATTCAGAAAATTCTAGAAGGTAATAATTTATTTGTGTTTTCCTTTCTGTGTTAATATTTCCATTCTGAGCCTCAGGTAGAAAATTGTTTGAAGATACTATAGAGAAAAGCTTAAGAGCTGAAAAGAAGAACAAATATTATATAAATCTACAGAAAATTCAATTATCAGAAACCTGTATACCTTTTGGTGGTGGTTAAATAATGTTAGTGACAACAATGACAAAAAAACGTTTTTAGATAACATTTAAATGGTAGTATTATAATTGACTATTCCATACGTGAAATTCAAACCAATTGTGTTTAACGATTCATACAGAATGCCCCAATCAGGACGGCGTATCTCAAAACATTCACTAATTTTTTACTACTACAAGTATAAACTTAGACTCACATATCTTAAGAGGCGATGTACAGAGATTGTTATGTCAATATCCAATAAATCGCATATGTACTGTATAACATAACTTTGATTTTAATATAGATTTTAGTTCATGTCAGTATTTGTCGCATTTGGGAACTCTGTTGGACGTAATTTCATTCCTGGAATAGTACTATAGTCCTACGAATACCACTCGTACTTTGGAAATTCTCAGATACATTCCCTCCTCGCGAGGCTGGAATTTATCGACAATTGCCAAAGCACACGTATTTCCTATGATAAATAACAAAACACCAAGTTATTGACTACTAGAGGAAACTGGCAGACGTTGTTCTGCTCTTTCTTTCTCTTCGTCTCCCTCCCTCTCCTTTCTAAAAGAAGGTTAAAAATATTTCATTCTGTAGATTACGGTGTGAGAAACGTTTCTTGGAGGCATGTGATCTCAATATTTTAGTTTTTAATGGCATAGAACGCTTCATTTAGGAGTTATTTAACGATATAAGTTTAAAAAATCCTGCCGAGTGTGAAGTGGGTGGCATTTGATAGAATATTTAGTTTTATTCTAGAGCATAAAATTTTGCCTAATATTCTACAGATATAAACTATCTCTGAATCGGGTTGTATATCGTGTGAAAATTTGTGCTCAATCGGTGCAGAACTTTTTGAGTTTTTGAAGCAGACATAACATTTTTTGTTATATATATATATATATATATATATATATATATATATATATATTATATTTATATTATATATACAGAGAGAGAGATTACACATTATTTAATATTAATCACTGTGTATTTTTATGTTTAATAATTGAGAGACGAAATATTACGTCCAACATATTTGAGCACCTTCAAGTTTCGGCGTTCGGAGTGCATTTGATACTGGGCCTTCTTCTGAGCAGTATAGGTCAGCGGTAGGTCGCATGTAATGGCCGAAAAGTCAGCTTCACGGGCTGAGTCACGACTCATCCCGGACAGCGAAGTATCGCATCAAGTTCGTTCCGTCGTCTACATTTCGCCCGGGGCAGGCCGGTGGAGGTTGTCGTGTCCAAGGCTCCACTGCCGTCCGTTGTCGTGAGCCTTCGCTCTTGCAGTGCAGAGGTCTTGAGAGGCAAAAACGTCACAGAGGCGGTGGTGCGCCGCGGAGGTCAGGGCGAAGGAGGGCGAAAGAGGGGCAAGGAGTGGGCGAAGAAGGGGGCGAAGCGGGGGCGAGGAGGGGCGAAGGATGGGGCGAAGGAGGGGCGAAGGGGGGCGAAGGAGGGCGAAGGAGGGGGCGAAGGAGGGGGCGAAGGGGGGCGAAGGAGGGGCGAAGGGGGCGAAGGAGGAGCTCAGGAGGGGGTGAAGGAAGGGGAAGGAGGCGGTGTCGATAGATCAAGTCCAGCACAAGTTACCCAACATGTGTGCAATGAATGAAATCATTTATACATGTTAATCATGACGGCGCCCTCCAATTTGATTTGGCAGAAGGAGTGTCAAATAACGTGACTCAACAAAGTGAAAAGAGTTAACTTTTACCAGTACTCAGGAACAATTACATCCGGTGTGTGTTTTGAGAACAAAGTGTCCCTAAGTAGAATGCTGCCAGAAATTGATTCGAACTCCAGGAATTTACGAAAAAAAGAAAATTTTGGAAATCGAGTTCACCTAATGTGAGGCATAAAAGCACAGTCGCCTCGATATCGAAGCTGTAGGAATTGTTCTGCAAAATATAAAGAACTGTCTTAACTACCACGTTATTCAAAAAGTCAAGTCATGAGTATTTGGGAACGTCTACATTTTCGACAAGTTATGTAGAGGCACCAACAGTCCTAAGATCTGCTGCTTAGTAAGCTGGTAGCAACCCAAGCCCATTTTATACTTAATTACTGTTAATATTTTAAGTCGTGATTAGAGAATAAATAAAAATTATATATAAATAATAATAATAATAATAATAATAATAAGAATAATAATAATAGATATAATAATAATAATAATAATAGTAATAATATGGAAAGAATAAATTTTTGAGCAATAAATGATACCTAAAAACGTAATAGGTATTTGCTTATACTAACCACATCCTAATCTATTCAAACGTCAATTATTTAATTGCGCGCTAAAGTAATAAAGCAAGTTCTGCTTCATTTGCGGCGTGAGGCGCCCTCCGAAGGTTCAATCTCCTTTTCGCGCCTCTCCCTCCCTCTCGCGGCCTCCCTGAAGCCGCCGCGTCGCACCGCTCGCGCGCGCGCCGGCTCGTTTAGTCGGTCGGCCGCCGCACCGATATTAATCAACTGCACGAAATCAAGCCATTTCCTCGCGAGCCTTTAAGCGGGCGGGGGGGACGTACGGGGAGGGCGCGGGGCGGGGGGGGGGGCGGAGCGGGGGAAAGGCGGCCGGGTGCGCGGGGAGGGCGTGCGGGGGGACGGGGGCGGAGGGGACGGAAGCGGGCGGACGGCGCGGACCGGGGGGGCGGACGCGGAGGGCGATCGGCGGGCGGGACGGACGGGCGGACGGCGCACGGGACGGCGGGAGCGCGGGGCGGCGGGCGGGACGGCGGCGGGACGGCGGGGACGCTGCGGGACGGCGGCGTGGACGGCGGGCGGGACGGCGGGCTGACGGCGGGGGAACGGCGGGCAGTACGGCGCGGCGGGACGGGCGGGCGGGCGGAGGCGGCGGACGGCGGCGGGGACGGCGGCGGGACCGGCGGGCGGACGGCGGGCGGACGGCGGGCGGGACGGGCGGCTGGGAAAACGGGGCGGGACCGGGCGGACGCGGGCGGAAACGGCGGGTAGGACGGCGGGGGCGCGAGGGGACGGGGGGGGACGGCTGGGGACGGCGGGCAGGACGGCGTGGCGCGGCGGGGAGGCGGCGGACGGCCGGCGGAACGGGATCCGGCCGCGGAGGGCGGAAACGGCGGGGCGGACGGGCGGGAGCGCGGGCGGGCGCGGACGGGGCGGGGCGGCGGGACGGGGCGGGACGGCGGGGCGGGGGGGCGGGACGCGGCGGGCGAGGACGCGGCGGGGGGCGGGGGGGGCGGACGCGAGGCGCCGGGACGCGGCGACGGCGGCGGGACCCGGCGGCGGCCGGGACGGGAGGCCGGACCAGCGGACGGCGGGCGGTGGACGGCGCGGGCGCGCGGTGACGGGCGCGGGACGGGGCGGAAACGGGCGGCGCGGACGGCGGGCGGGACCAGGCGGGGGCGGGGGGACGGCGGGCGGGGACGGCGGCGGACGGCGGGGGACGGGGCGGCGGGGAGGGACGGGCGGTGAGGAGAGCGGGGACGGGCGGGGGGCGGGGGTGGGCGGGTCGGAACGGGCATACAGGACGGACGTGTCGGAACTGGAAGGGTGGATGCAGAAGGGCTGGCGATGAGGACAGGACGCAGGCGGGGCGCGCGGGGCATGGCAGGTCAGGGAGTGGCGGGCAGGCGGACGGGACGGAACGGACTGGCAGTGATGGGCTTGGCAGACGGGACGGGGCGGGGGCGGGAGAGAAGCTGGGGGACAGATTGCGTGGAGCGGGGCGGCGCGGAGCTTGGGCGGGGCGTGTAGGGCGTGCGGGGCAGGAGGGCGCGATGGAGCTCCAGACGTTGCTGTCCAGAGGCTGGTGGAGAGTATCGTGGAAACATACAGGTGAGTGGGGTAAGTGAAGAAAAGAATGGATAAAGCGGGACGAAGGTAGACGACAGTATGCGAAGCGGAATTAGAAACGGGCGAAGCGAATCGAATGGAGTGTGGCGGATTGGCAGACGGTTGAGGCGAAACGGGCGGGCGGGAGGGTTTGGGGGGCGAACGGGTAAGTAGGCTTGGCGGATGAAACAGGTTTGGTGGGGAGGTGTTGAGTGTTGCCTGATGTGTGGGTGTGGTTGAGAAGGTCCTGAAGGCGGTCGCTGGGCGAATACCGGGAGGGCGACGGAAGCGCAATGCGGCGGCGGGGCGGCCGGGTGGGCGGCCGGGGAGGTCGGTGACGGC